CGCCGAAGCGTTGGCACCTGTAGCGCGACTCACAGCGCTCTTCGCGCAAAATAGGTCATATTCGTGTTCAGGGGGTCAAATAACCCCTAGAGACGTCACCTTAGCGAAATCTGAGGTTCTGACTCAACTTCGAAAAAATGGGGTATGGATAGTCATGGCTGACTGATAGCCAACAGCGATACTACGACTAGCATACTGGTGATGACTGGTCTTCGAACTGAAATAACTCTTCAGTCATGTCTTTTCGCAAACAACAGTACCTGGCTTACTTATTTGTGCCGTCTGCATCATTTTCTTGACTATCGGGAGGAAATCCCATTCCGAGACCAGTCATTGAGCTCCAATCTGCTGCTAATTACCCATGGAATAGCCCACATTTTCCAAGTGAGGTCGAAAAATCAGATTCGGCTAGAAACTTGTCCCCAGGGGTAATTAACCCGCTGAACATGAATATGATGGTATTTCATTGCAAAAACCCTTGTGACACGTGTTACGAGGGGTACAAGCAGAAGCACTCTTTCAGGCCACAATGGGTCTACACTTTCAAAAAAAACTGATCGCAGGTTCCCTTATAGGGTAGTGCAGGCGAGCAGAGATGTTAGAAGCTTTGTCGGCCATGTTCTTGGACAAATGCAAAAATGAAAGTCCTGCCGAGAACCGATCCTACGACGTCTCGCCTAGTAAGCCCCTCCACCTATCGTTTGCGCTTCTACTACACGGGATTCAAGTGGACTCCATAAAAAAAGGATAAAGTCTTCGCCGTTGATCAATCCCTTTGTGGATGCGGCACGCATTCTACTTCCATTCAGAATCGTAGTGGCTTATTGAATGCGATGTGGCCTATACAATGACTTGCGGGCCAGCCGATGTACAAGTCAGTGTTTTATCCTCCCAGACGAATCTGGTACCAATTTACCGTCCCCGGAGGGTAGAAGGCTTGGTTGGCCTGGGCGGGTGTCGACCCGGGATTCGAACCCGGCGCCGCGCGAGTGCGCTACTTGTCGCTACACCACCTTCACCCTCTGAAGACTCGTACAACGGTGGGAACCCCATTGGAAATGGCCGGGGACCTGTTGACCTTTCCTGGTAAGTAGGAAACCATCGTGCCAACTGCCTTTTAGCTGCGTCACGCCGCGATCTCACGCGTCACAACTCAACAATTTCCATAAGGTCAGTACTGAATGATGCACTTCAAGCAATAGCGAAACATAAATTTTATCTATATTTGTATACGAATATAAACAATACAAAAACGCTACTACTATACAGTACTATTTGAGCAACCGTTTCACACTCTAACCGTTTGTCGATTCACAAATTACTTGAGTTTAAGATATGTACTTACAAATGACACCTGATGATCACTGTAATTGAGGTATCTCATCACTGAGCAACTACATGACTTTGTATTAAATATAATTTTTCAAAAAATTACAAATATCTTTAGTCATGTCTCGTCGAACTGGACTACCTGGCATATTGCAGACACCATGATATGCTGATTTGTAGTGCTTCCATTCACATGGAACACCTTCTTCTTCTAATTTTTTTGCATATTGAATCCCTTCGTCTCTGAAAAAACTTCTGATGATGATCTACGCAGTTTATGATCTACAGATCTACGATCTACAGTTGTGAAGTCACATGTTCAGTACCTGAGGACATCATATTCAGCAGTAAGTACGAGAGCCGGTGGGAGATCTTTCCTGATTCCTAGCAGAGGAGAGACATCAGGGTCAGTCCCCTTTGTGGAAAAAGTCCGCAGAAGAATTTCATCTTCCTGAAGAACCAATTCCTCACTGGGTCTTGAATTAGCTCCGCAAGATCATCCTCAGCCTCAAACTCACTTGACTAAGCTCTTTTGAATTGGATAAGGGTACCTTCGGCACCACACTATGTCCAACCAACGCCCGAATTGCTGATGATGAAGCGAGTTTTCTGGAAATACAGTCTTGATTTCACTGTAAATCACTGAGAGTTGAAATTTGTGATGTCATGGCTGCATTGCCAGACACTGCTGCGCGCGGTTGCGCTGCGGAATTGGAATCGATCGATGTGTCACCAGAATCAAGATGTTCGGAAAATTCTCGATCTTAAACATTTTACCCTATCTGCGACCTTGTTAAAACAGTTTCGCGATCGATTCTGCTAAATAGCGACTTTTTCATATACCGCAGCGTGACCGCACGCGGCAGTTCCCGTCACTCACGCTGGCCCTATTCCTCATTGTGAGCAAGCTCTTCCACCGTGAAAGTTAGCTTTACTACTTAGTTCAAGAATGCTACAGATTTGCCCAAAAATATTTTTCAAAGTACTTTTCAAACACCTTACTCTGAAATATGCTGATTGGCGGTCAGCAACTCGACATTCCTCTTATGAGCAGGTAGTCCCAGATAAAGCAATATCCATCTGGCCATAGCACGAGGATTTAACAGTGATGTCCCGTTATACCTTGAATTTTTGCACTTTTTTTTTTCTTTTACCCGTCTTCATCTTTCCATCTTTCTCAAAGGCGCTCACCTGCACGTCCATTCTTGGCATCCGGCCTATAGGCCCCAGCTGTTTGAGCGTAGCGGTTTCCTCAACCGAATATGCGCGGGGATGGGAATTCAGGACCGTGGGGTAGGCTAATCCCTCCATACCACGCCTAAAGAGCAACTTGCGGCGCATACACGCTACACGCCGCTAGCATATCCCAATCCCATCTATACTGACTGAACTATTCGACTTGTTCGAAAGTCCTGCGACACTTTGACCAATTTTTCGGACTAAATTTTCAGTCACTAAAAGACATCTCCAATCTACAAGGTAATCACCACTAAGGACTAGGACTAGTGCCCTTCTTTTGCACAGCTTCTCATTTCCATTCTTATAGAACTACGGCAACTATGATAAGAAGAAGAGGTGGACCTCATTTTTGAGTAGACGTCGATTTTCGGAATTTTTGCCTTCTTAAGGATGCGGTAGGGATCAAAAAGGTAGTAGTTAGAGACTGCTAACTTTGATGAATAAGCTGGGTATGGTCGCATTCTCAGGATCAAGATCCACGATCTTTTGGTGTGGCCTGATCCTAACATGCGGTCTTCGCATTGCCGAGCGGTAGAGAAAAATTGAGTATTTTTGAAGAATTAAGCGTGACGTCATCCATGTTGTGAGGTTGGTTAGAGTGGACTGTAGTCCTTACCGTTATGCTAGTATCCAGAGATACCGCTTTGAAGTCACCAATAACCTACTGAAATCTTTATCCATGGCACGATCTGTTTGGCCTGTGCAGAATATCTGTTTGAGAGATCCTGCAAGGAACATGTGCAAGATGTACGCAAGGACCCCACCACTCTCTACCAACCACAAGATCTCACAAATGTTCCTCCAGTGTGTACAAAATACAAGGAAAAAAAAACTCAGTCACGGTCATTCGGTATGACTTGTCAGAGGGGTTCAACTCATGAGGCATCCTTCATAAAAAATTTTCCGATAACCGAGACTGCGGAGAAGCATGGCAGTTGTCAGTTAGGTGGAGCCTAGAGAGGTTGCCAACTTACTGGTGGTTACGTTCGGCTGCGCCTCAAGAAGCTTGAGTAAAGGGCCGTCATTCTGTGCTGGTGGCCGACCTATACATTGCCTACTTCCGAGTTGAATAAGTCCAGCCTGGAAGCGCTGATGCAAAAGGAACTCTCTGCTATGGCAAGCGATATCCTTCCTCAAGACAACGTAAGTGTTAGCTTCCTCGACTATGGCGGAGTTGCCCTACAGGAACTCATAATATGGGATAGGTCGAGAAGTACCTCGATCTCTGAGGTATTTTTAAGCTTTGAAAACTTCCACGGAGCCATGATATACCCATTTTCAGAAACCCCAGGAGACAGTCTCACTAACCAGAGATAAAAACATTCAAAATGATTTTGGTCTTTTTCTAGAATAGTTCTAACAAAGTGTCGAGGATCTTTTCCGAAGCAAACTATAATGCTCTGAAATCGTCCTCCTATCGTAAAGCCCGCATTCCGACAAATAAGACAATAAACAGCTCGAAGCGTCCTCCAGCGCCGGGGGGGTCATGGAAGTCTTTTTAAGAAGCTCTCGCGAGCGCGTCAGAATCAGAACTGCACAGACCTACAGGGATTTACATTGCTTTTCAATTCATCATCTGATTCAGAGTTTGCAGCAGAAGCAACGCCTTAATTATCATCCGCATCAGCAGTTTGCGTTCCAGTAGTATTGGGAAAACGCAAACTATAAGACTTGGCAGAGCCAGGACTCGCCGGCGACACGCCCGCGCGGACGGCCCGTCATTAGTGGGATTGGAGTATGATGGCGACGTGCAGCGCGCTTGCACAGCAATTTGCATTTTAGGAGGAGTATGAAGGAATTAGCCTATCCCGCGGTTCTGGATCCCAATCCCCATGCATACTCGGACGGGGAAACCGCTTCGACAGCTGGGGCCTGTTAGCCCGCACATGCCAAGGATGCACCTCGCAGGTGAGCGTGTTATGCCTTCGAACCAACTGTAAAAACGTACTTCTCATAGTACGCCAAATAGGAGGGTAGCTGGAAAGCGAAGACATGAACCACCGGATAGATGAGGACTTGACACTGAAAATGTACGACATCAATACAACGCGCGGAGACCGTATTCTGCGTGAAGGTATGCTAAGAGCAATGGGATGGAGACGTGTGCATACGAGGCCTCCTATTGGTTGACAGGACACAATAGCCAATCGCCATTCTACCCTACGCCCCCTGTCATCCAAGTACGGAGTCCTAAGCAGGATGGCCGGTGCAGGTTGTCACTGAATATTATAACCTATCGTGAGCTCTTAGGCTACAATGGCAGCAGCTCTATGCCGGGTTTTCTTTACCAGTCAGCTGATCAGCAGAATAAGCATACAGGTGCAGAAGACCAGAACAAAACGGTTATCCAAGAGTGGACTTCAACAACTATTTACGATTTACTCTGAATACCGGATATCTGCTGCTGTCATAGAGAATAGTGGGAGAGGGGGGACAACAAGATTAGATTACGCCTATGTTCTGTTCATCTAGGCCCTTGCGACAAAATAGTGCGCGGATAACATCACTGATGGTGAGAGCGGCGACGTGCAGAAAATGGGCGTGGCCTGGTGCCCTTTATCTCCCTCAGCCACAATCAGCGCCTCCGTATCCCTTCCCTAATCAACAGTTACGCTTAACGGAGAATATGTCTTCTCAGCAAAACCCTTGGCGACTTTGGTCGTCTGCGCTCCTGCCCTGAACTCTTCCAAGGAGGGGCGCTGTCCTATGCATACCCTCCTTGGAAGAGTTCAGGGCAGGACTATGTTAGCGCCGAAATTATTTATCGTCCTGGAAACCAACCTTGATGAAGTTCTCATTTCTTCGTGCTAATCGTTGCGTAACGACAGCCGCCAGATTTCCACCAGCGCTATCACCTGCGACGCAGATTTTATCCCGGTCGACATCGTATTTCTTCCAACTGAATGGAAGAAAATAAATAGAATAAAATTACAGTAATCTGGAATTATATCTATTGAATAGTCCATAGATGAATAGAGAACAGAAAGGAGAGTGTGTGGCCATAACGCGTGAGCGATACCCTTCCTCGACCTTTGCAATTTTTGATCTATCGTGAGGTCGAGGAGGGTGAATAGTAACGGTTACTTCTCGATTAAGTGTTCCTCAGGGTGGTCGACCCCGCATAGCGGCGGCTGATCAGGTGAGCCATAATACTATTGATTGATATCGTTGGATGCTTTACTAGTCTAGGGAAATTGTCTTGGGGATTGTTTAGGCGCTTGAGCGGGCAAGTTACATCTGTTTTTTGTCCATTTCAGGCTCAGACGAAGGCGAAGACGCCGAAACGTAGGCCTAGTAATAAAGCCATCCAATCTTGTACAGGCTTGAAGACATACGAAAAGGTATATCTACTGCATTTTTAAATTGATATAACATAATGAGATGTTCATCGTGATGTGTGAAAGGGCGGTGTCGGAACGACCCCCAAAGGAGGGTCTCGGTGCGACCCCCTTTCGGCTCTAATTGTTGGCTATAACGAGAATGATGAGATACGTAATGATCTACAAGCTACTGAAGTCGTGTTGCGATTACGGAGCAAAATAGCGCTGGAGCAGATTTGTTGACAGGATAGAAACCGCAATACTTCTTCTGGAGGTAATAACTTTTTCAGATGCGGGGCTTCTGGGGAACAGAAGGCGGTATGTTCAAGCGATGGCTCCTCTATTGAGTATTCTTGCTTCGCTTGAGTCTTTCCCTGCTGAGAAATATTTCGGATAGGGTTTTACATGGGTTAATGGTAGATCACACGCAATTTTTACGCTTCAGACGACAATAACTTGTTTCGCATGTAGGCTTTTGTAAAAACAAAAGCATTATTACAAAACGCAGTATTTCCTCTTTTCAAAAAGTGCTGCAGTTTTCTTAAAGACCTCCTGACACAGAAAATATTTTAGATGGGTTTTCTGATGGGTGGAACCCTGAGTCAATCAAAAGCTCGACTCCCTCTTTGCCATTGTAAGAATTTATTCGAAAGAATTCGCTATACCTCCAAAACACATATTATCGTTGAAAAGTGTGAGAGTATTGCTCGATTTTTATTGCTTGATCACGTCTGAGTGGGCGCCGTGCATTGCGCCCCCACACAGAAGTGTAGAAAGGTGTAACTTCTAATGGTAAGTAATTTTTGTCCTTGCAAGCAGATGTTTTCAGAGGTGTTCAGAGGGGATGCTGTATTATTTAGTCATCCAGGTGTTCGGGGATTTCTATGCTAACTTACCATATTATTTGGCTGAATATTTGCAATTATTTTCTAAGTCTTTTCCAATCACTTTTCGCATTGTGCACTATGCTGATTTCCACTTCATACAAAAGCTTTAGCTGACGAAACTTTTGCCCTGTGTCGGTCTCAACGACCCGCGTTTGCGATTCCTCATTCTATCTGGCGGCGAAATACGACTTCATTCCGCACGCTTTGTACCTGTAATTTCCGTAGACGAGGCAAAATATCACCTATAGTTTCGTAAATGGGTAGTGGGAAAATCCGCATTATCAGAAGATTTCAATTTGGCGTGTGTGGTTGTTCATAAAACTTGTTCTCTAATCGCCTTTTCTTGTTTTCTTTCTCTCTTGTGAGCCTCCCACGTGAGCCTCACTCCCACATCAGGCAATTTCAGGGCCACAACTGCACAGCATACACTCGAAATCCCTGTGATGCGGCAGGCGTGTCTGCGTTAACTACCAACTAAACGTAGGCAGAGGCTGTGCTTTGATGATGATGTCATTTTTAGGCATTAGTGTGTAGATATGTCTCTGTCCAATGTCACAGAAAATGGGCAGTCGCCCTTATGTATGAAACGCAGTCGGCTTGCGCCCGGCTATAACGGCCGCGCGCGCCTCCCTTTCTGATACGGCCTCTGGCTCTGCGATCGGTCGAGGCAGGTCTCGCCGCGCGTATTCCTACTTACATAACTTTCTATATCTGCATCTGATTCGCGCTCCATTGTAAATCTGCACTCACACTTTTTTTCCCGGTGTCTGAAGTACTCTTGAGCTGTTTTACAGATTCTTCGTCTGACTCCGCCACCTCGGAGCAGGCCCCGCCCACAATGTTTGTGCCCTACAATCTTCACCGGCGACCCTCTGCTGACCTTAATCCACTTTTTTCCGGTGTCTGGAGTGTTCTGGAACCGAGCTACAAACTTTTGAAATGAATACCCTGCGATTAAGGGCAAGCTCCGCCCACTGTGGGCGGGTCTCAACACACTTTGAGCGTGCCCTATATTCGCCAGATATTTACATTCTACACTGAGTTTTTGCGACTTCCAAACACTCTCGCGAACCGGGTTACTGAATTTTGCGAGAAGCACCGCCATGAGTACGCCCCGCCCATTTTGGATGTGTCTGCCACAGTTAGTCTGGCGACTCCTTACTAACCTTATTCCCTTTTTCCCCATCTTTAAGCTGCTCCGGAAGCGAATTATGATTATTTTCTGCGGAACCGCGCCAACAAGTTGTGCGTTTTTATTTCTTTGGTCCCCATTGCCTATCCCATCCCCTACTCATGACCCGACCTTTCTCCAAGTCGTTCTTCAGAGTCGAATGCCCGTAATTTTTCCGGACAGAGCAACCTTACATTAAGACATAACGAAACTGTACAAACAAACAACAGACGAAGCGATATTACATATATATTGGGGTGATAATCGCACGAATAAGCTTGTTCATTGTCTTCTATTACAGGGACACGTGGAGTTGCAGGGCTGCCGTCACGCACACTAACAACACACAACACACACACATCTCTTTTTGTTTTCGCTACGCAACTCACAGAATCATGTTCTATATGTCAACTTCACAACAGCACGAAAGTCAACAACACGCGCTGAAAGCTGCGCACCGATAAGCAATCGTTTAAAACGTTTAAAGGAAGTACAGTACTTACACAATTTACAAAGCAAACCTGTTATGATACAAATCGCTGACGACAGCCTCACAGTCGTCAACCGGATAAGGGAACGGATATTCTGGTGCTAATCGATAATCGATTGAGAATACGGTCACTCCCAATCGGCGAACAAATACGTTCATTAAGCCATCATAGTAGCCTGAAATTTGACGAATGTGTTATGCTCAGGTGCAAAAAAACCACGATGGTCTTACCGGCTCTCATCGTTGCCCATCCTCCTCCATGAATAAACACTAATGCGGCTCGGCTTTGTTTCTTTTGTGGAGTGTATACCCGAACTTTTGTACCACCAATTGAATCATTCTTGATCTGAAGAGGTATTCAGTGGTATTGATCGACTGAAACTTTTAGAAAAGATGTTTATCCTGCTATAGGCATCCTCGAACACGTTTCGCGCCAAAAAGTTGTATACTAGGGACTTGGCAGCGAAAGGTTGCCCGAGGGACTCCGCCCACGTAGCCAGCCTAAGGTATCTTGTCTTGTTCGCTTGCATGCTCTCTCGCTGTTCTTGTCTGATCTCTCGCCGAAAATATTTGTCACTTCTTTGCCGCTCGGTTGTAGGAAGAAGGGCTTTACTTGGAGCATTTTCAATGATTCCCTCTGGTTTTTTTTTCTTAACAAGCTAGCTTGCACATACGCTCCTGTTTTTCACCGCGCTACTTACAAGCTTTCGATGGCCTACGTAAAAACTGCCTTTAAAGGGCGGTGGGTCGTAGTTTAAGACGGTTCGAGTAATCAAGCACTTCGTAGGCGTCCTCCCTTGTACGAGTAGTCTGGCCCTCCGTCTCTAGGACTGTTCCACTTACACGGCTTCACAGGAAGAACGATGGCGCTGCGGGTCTTATGAGTACCAGTGCTGACGCCCCCAGCTGTCCCGCCCACTGAACTGAACGGCTATTCTCTGTCTCAGATTCAGTTTTCACAATTGTAATTTGTTCTGCCAAAGAGGTTGGTAGGCTTGCGACAGACTCATTGAAAATGGCCAGACGTTTTGATAGATTACTTCTTGTTGTATTTTAGTAAGTCTGACAACAACAACAAGTTAAATCTAGTCTAGTAAGTCGACTTGAAAGTCACAATGATGCCGAAGATTTTATGAAGCAGAGAAGCTGGCCGAACACTATTAAACAAATTTTCAGTGCTTTTTAGTTCTTTTTTACTCTCAGACGGCATCAGCATCAGATGACGCACAGAAACGATTAGTGAGGGAGGCGCCCAGGTTATCCCTTTTACTCGGCACAGGCCAACAAGGTCCGCGAGAATCTCGTCCAGATCCTTACATACGGTGTTCTCCATGATTTTTTTTTTGTTCCCTGGAGAGTCATTTAGCGACTGTAGGTTCTTTATTGAACGCCATTACCCACAATGTACAATCACAGGGTTTGTCTCCGAAGGGCTCTAAGAAGGAGGTTTCATATCGCTTCATGAAAACGGTTCGCAGGAATCTGAAAGGCGTAAGAATTTCGGGGGACAGTGAGATTCTGAGTTTCTAGCTTAGCAACGATCGACGGTTCCTTGAATTCGGAGATTGGAGGGAAGGGAGGCAATAGGGTAGGTGAGGTAAGCATAGACGCTGACCTAAGGAGGTCGGTCATACTCAGGCAGCGATGTAGAAAAGAGGAGCTGTACATCAACCCTCCTCATCGTTATCAGATGCTCCAGTCCTACTACTGATCTTGAAGCTTTGATTGAAAGCAAAGCAGTACCTGTCGGGCAAGAACGCGCAGTTCGCCCAGGGCTCACAAGGCTAATGCCGTTTGGACTCCAGAAATTTCTTCGAGCTCGTTTTCAAATTGCCTAGTCCACCAAATTCACTATAAGCTTGTATATAGGGGTAATTCAACATCCCTATTACGAGTATGAAACCCATTCTTGGCGCTGACGCCAAGAGAAGGACACTACGATTACCCCCTGGGCTCAGCACTTAGCAGAGCGCAGGTAACCGTAGTGTCATCCATTAGCGCCAGCGCCAAAATGTAAAATTGTCATATTTTCGTTGATCAGGATGCTTGAATTTACCCTATAATATCAGAGTTTTTTATAGCGGATGTGGTGATCTTGCCACTTTAAGAGCTCCGGTCAGCCGAATTCTGAGTCCAAACGAGCATTAGCCGGCTCACAATCCATTGATTAAAGCACGACAAGTTGCGTACTATCGCAAACTATGGAAGAGACTGGATCCAATTTACGATTCTATTAGGGATTCTAAAAGTAGATGGACACTATAAATCCTAATCCCAAGACGTGTAGGATAAATATGCCTAGCAGGACGGATTTCGGTGCCTCTGAACTGGTGCTGCGTGACGTCTCCACCGAGGAAGGTACCCTTATGACGCCCTATCAAGCTGCAGCATACGGAGCTGAATGCCCACCACACCGGACCGCCCACAAATGTACGTCCCATGCTGATGCTCGTATCGCCTCATTTACATTTACGTACAGCAAGTACAATATGAAGCGAAAGGAATGATATGGATCTGCTGCGGTGCAGCATGGATATAGTATGAGCACACACAATCAGCCGTATCTTCTCCAGGTCATTGGCAAGATGCCCAGGACAAACCCATCCGAAATTGATTTTTGAGTCATCAAGAGCGAAGGCCTCTTTTTCGCAGGATTTTGACCGTTTCACACCGTTCTTTCGCCATTTTCCCCACTATATAGCGCCCTGCCAGCATTTTACGCCGAGTACCAAATTATCGTGCCAAGTGCCTTTGAAGCTGCAAATTATCACGCTCACCTACTGCACAAGCCGGCAGTCCAGTCAGGACTTAAAGACACACTACGCCACTATCTGGTACGGGAAATCCCTTCTACGTGTACGACCAACGGGTTTACCACTGTAAATAGTGTATCACTTCGCCACTCGAGAGTGTGGTAAGCAAGGTAATGCTTGTGACTTGAATCCAACCCGCTTCATTTGCGAAGTACAATATGAAGGGAAAGGAATGATATGGAGGCACGGATATACGGCAGCACGGATATATGAGTACATTCATGCATCTACCGTAGCGGTTATCAGCACGATGCAAACGGGAAATTCGTCTGAAATTGCTTTGTGAGTCGTGCATTACTCCTTTTAACAGAAGTAGAACGCGTGGCCCATCAAAAAGTGGGACTGATCGACATACTTTTCTCTATCCTACGATGCTGGTGGCCACTTTCCAGTTGCCGTTGTTTCATAAATCAAGCGAATCAGTGCAATCATGCTGTTACGCGATATGCCGATGTAAAGCGAACTTCCAAAGCCGGCTTTCTATTCTTATCTCTATAAATTTGCCGAGCGCTATCGGCGACAAGTGATACATGACTATTGCAGCCTTCAAACCATCCAACTATGGATTCCATCTAGCAACGAAGATAGCAGAACAATCAGAGCAATAAGATGCCCAGAATCAATCGATTTTATGCATGCGCCAGGCATTTGACTGCCATTCAGAGCTGTGGTTGTCTGTGAAGGTCCATTTGGCCACCAATATACCACAATATACCAATATAACGATATTACCAATATACCGTGCGCGAGGGCAGAAGGCCTGATTAGCCTGAGCGAGAGCCTATCTGGGATTCGTCCCGCGGACCGCGCTCGTGTCAAGCGTGTCTCTTGCTACTGGACCAGCTCCGCCTCAAGTGATAACTCCAGAGTTATAATATTCAAAATCAGGTGTTGCGTTTAAGTGTTGTTGCGTATCTCAGTGCTGAGTATTGGACCTTTCGCCTTCTACCAATCCCTTTATGGGTGCGCCAGACACGTCTACGTTAGCTAAGAATCGTAGCGACTTCTGAATGGAGTATACACCACCACCAAGAGGTTGAAAGGCTTGGCTGGCCCGAGCGCCAGTCCATTCGGGATTTGCGCAGAACGTGGTGATTACAGGGCTCATCATTAATTGAGACTTTTGGTCGATCCGAGTCCGTACTACCCCCTCCCGGTTTCCTCCTCATCGAGCTGTAGAGCAGGAATGGGAGGACGAGGGGGAAGGGATAAATAGCACATGTGAAAAAGCACGAAAAAAATACGATCATCTCTCTACCATTCCTTAGATTTTCCCCAACTTCGCATGCCCGCTTTTCACTTTTTCATCAACTTTTTCCGGCATTTTCCGAAAATTTTTCTGCTTGCACCCAAAAATTTTGCTGAGGAGGGGGTATATAATACTATAGTACACATGAATACAGGAAAAACCACGAAAAGTCAGCAGCCTCTATCAGAAGGTCAGAATGCAACTACGACTCCCCTCCTTTTACAACGTCCTTGAAACAAGAAAACATATCAAAAAAATTTTCTCCATCAAAGACGACCCCCTCCCCTCTTCAGTGACCAAATACGACCACCTGTTGGGAATTCCAAACAACGATGTGCCCAGGATATTGACCGAGTTTGTCATAAAGTCGCTTTCTATTGAATAAGTAGCACAGTTACCCCTTTACTGCCCCACTCCTCGAAAAACAGAACAGACTCTTCGAAATTTTTCTCCGAAAGTAAGTTGCACTTCAAATTTCCTCCAAAGGGTTGACTCCGTAAGATCATTTCGTTTGACACAAACTGCCGGGTCCCCAAGAGCTCCAGCGACAAGACCTTGTCCACAGGGCTAGTTTGACTACCTGAACACGAGCATCGCATCCGCACGGAGTGGTAAGAGAGCTACAGTCCTCATCATTGCGGACTGTCGGAGGCGGCGTGAGCAGCGCGGTTCGAGTCCGCGTTCGGCTCCCTTGCTCTACCAATGGCGATCGGGTAGAGATCGATTTAGGAAGGAAACAACCAATGATGGAAACGCCGCAGCTGAGAACCGCTGATTGCGACCCGACAATTGCGGTGATGTTAAGTGTAATTATTAGGATAGCGAAGAGGGAGGACACGAAAACGGCGCGGCTTCTCCTGCTCCTCTTCACCGTTTCCCTCCTCATCGAGCTGTCGAGCGGGGGGAGAAGATTAACAGTACACATGAAACAGGAAAAACCACGACAAGTCAGCAACCTCTTTCAGAATATCAGACGAGATTACGACCAAGCTCCCTGTACAACGTCCCTGAAGCAAGAAAAATCAACTATCAATAATTTTTTTCTTGGCAGTACGACTCCCTCCCCCACGATGTGTCCTGGATAGTGATCCTTTCCTCCCTTCCTTGCTAGGGCTCATCTCAATGAAAAGGAACGAACAGCATCACTGGCAACCAGAAAGAGTGCTGCCTTGTCTCGCC